TATATATATATATATATATATAGTGTGTGTGTGTGTGTGTGTGTGTGTGTGTGTGTGTGTGTGTGTGTGTGTGTGTGTGTGTGTGTGTGTGTGTGCACATGCATGCACGGACACACGCACACACGCACGCACGCACGCGCACATGCATGCATGCACGTACATTCGCACACACGCACGCACGCACGCACGCACGTACATTCGTCGTACATAGTTATACTCACTCCTAGATGCGGTCGTTTTCGTTGGACGTGGTTGAGTTGTCGTCGCCAGTAACGCAGCACGTAGATGACGACGATGATGACGATAGCACCGCTGATTCCCGTTATCACTGGCACGAGTACCGACATCATGTAACCATGGACGTCCGTCTCCTGCGGTAGTGCGCATGCGCGGGGGCGGCGGGGTGTTTAAACATGGGTATCACAGAGCAAATATATTGTAGTTTACGCTCGAAAAAGTAGATAAGTACGAATATCAATAGTACGTAGCAAAACTACAATATAGATAAAATTATACTTTGTTTCCTTTAGTGAGTTTAGTGTGTATTGTCATAAGTATAATTAGAGAAAGTTGGCAGGCAGTAATAAAATCTGAGCAAACTGACTGAATCGATAATCTAATAGCATTGTTAATCTAATCGTCTTACCGTCCATCCTAAGACGAACTGAGATGCATATCCTGTAGGAAGCAGAGAAACAACATGATATCATTAAATGTAAGTAATTAATGGTACGGCCTTTAACATTGACGTCTGTAAGAATAGTACGATGGCTTGCCCTCGGGTGGCTGGCCAACAGTGCATGGCTATGTATGGGCCGGCATGTCTGCGCGCGCGCGCGCGCGTGTGTGTACGTGTGCGTGAGGGCATGTCTGTGTGTGCGAGTGTGTGTGCGTACGTGTGCGTTAGGGCATGTCTGTGTGTGTGTGTGTGTGTGTGTGTGTGTGTGTGTGTGTGTGTGTGNGAGGATCAAACTCAAATATTCACAGAAAGATAGCTAAGACATGTGTCTATAGGTATCTAGAATTTTAGAAAATGCAACTCAAATCGTTCGCGAGATAGAGTTAGTACACTATCCTACGGGCCATAGCCGCGCGTATATTATCCTATGACGATACCGTGCGTATATTTTTGGTAATTAATTAAACTATTCGTGCTTCAATAAACTCAAAATTTACAGAGACCATAGAGAGATGTGTTTATAGCTAGGTACCTAGAATTTTAGAAATGTAGCTCAATTCGTTCGCGAGATATGAGAGTTAATACACTATCATGAAGCTATAAGGGACCTGACTATATGTAGCTCATTGGCTTCAACCATAGATATATACAAACACAGATATGTATTGTACATTGTATACATCTATGCTTCAACTTACGACCATAGCTTGGCCATAGCATAGATATATACAAACACACGCGTTTGTATATATTTATGCTATAATGAGTGGAGCGAATTTATCATAGATCCAGAATAGTCTATTTTAGCAGCCCCATATATACTAGTATGAGTATGATGCTGTTTGTTTCCACGAAGGCACCTAAACCATGGCATGATTACTTTTCATTCCTCATTTTAGTTTTTCCTAGTACTATACTATAGTCTACACCTATATTAGTCATTAAAGAGCTAACACGATATCTCCTTATTAGGTGTTACTATAATACAGCTACATTTGCTTTGCACAGGCCCCAAAACATTACACGTGGATGAATTCAGAAGTGAGAGAATCTGAACACAAACAACCGCGCTGAATATATGCAACTGATACACAATTTCAAAAAAATTGAACAGGTATTTATTTAAAACGTTATGCAACACCTATTAACTATCATAAAGCAGTACAACATTTTCTAACAATTACAACTAAAATATGTACATTATTCTATTTATCCCCATTATTATATCATAATTTTGCCGCAATATGTCCAGTTCAATTACAAGATGGAAAGTTTATTATTAAAAGCATCAATACGAATTAAAATAGATTATGGTAGACAAGCAATCCACACCTCTGTTGACAATAGATTAATTTCTCACACCCAACTGATAAAATATTCAAGAAAATTTAAATTAAATATATGAACAAGCCCCACAATCTTTTCTTACCAGCGCTGAGATATCATTGGATAGTTCAAATACAAGCACATGTTGAAACTCGTTATGTTCAAACTGCAATAGTTACCAATACCTTGCCCAAATTCGTAGGTGAACTGACCTGGTCAATATCTACATCGCGATCAAACGCCCCACAGAAGGCTACAACAACCAGCATAGCATCGGTCCCCGCCTAGGCAAACATAGGGAATGGGCCACAGGGTAAACATTTATAGGTATTTTAATAGGTTCACGAATCTCACAACAGCATTAGATCGTGCATGACCTGGTTGATAATGCACGAATAAGCAGCGCGCACTGATACGCAGTGACATCTAACCTTAATTCTCACAGCACAGACCCCAAATAGGCATAACCATTCACTTTACTGATACGTTTAAATACGTAAACACCAGCAAAATTCAATGTAACCAATCCAACCGAGACCACGATGAAGCAGACGCTACCTATTCTCAGTATGCATTTGTTATGCAGCTAGATTTTCCTGCAAAAATGCACACACTAAATGTCTATGATTTGCTCTGTTGTTACCATAAAATTGGAAACATTGGCTATACAACATAAATAACTCTTGACACTACAATGTTAGCCCAAACTATGAAATATTGTAGTTTTTTTTCATGCTTTACATTCCGAAAGCAACTAGTTTCAGAGTTTGAGATGAACGGTTAACATTAGGCACTGTTGCAACAAGACGTTCTGTTGGCGTCTGTCCGTCGTAAGTGTTTGGGCATTCAGAAAAAAAGCTTTAACATTTAATTAAGACTACAGCAGACAAGAATGCAAGATTCTCATCATATATCGCAAATAACTGTATCGAGCCTACTTCTGTACCTCTCCATTATTATGCCCAATAAATTGGTAGAAATCACAGCCATAAATAGACACAGTACCATAACGAGAAAGGTGTACTTTCTTTCAAAATCGCCAGCCCAGTGTTGACAGAATTTTCGCATAATTAATAAACGACTGGTAATTTGTACATTGACATATCAGCATCCCATTTATACATGCAGCAAAATACATAATTGAATATCCTCTTTCTGCATTGCAACCAGAAATAACTTAAGCAACACAGACTCCAACAATTATCGTAATGGAAAGAACATACTGGCACGTTGTCCAACATACTCTCTAAAAATGGTAAAAACTACACAATAAAATTCATTCTTTAAATAACCTATACAACTGTTTATTTGCTATAGCAACGTATGCTGAATGGTTCATATCAAGTGCATATACAAGTAGCCATGTATTTACATTATGATTCAGTCGTTAATGTAACAACATAATTATGCTACCTATAGTTATACTTATAATGATTGTTGAAAACCCTGGAGACACTACCACTGGTCAATCTGTTTCAGCAACCCAGTGGCAAAATAGCGACGATACAAACCACGTGAAATACTAGAGCAACATGGAGTCAGCATTAAGTTATCACAATCTACGTAGTTGGAGAACATAGGTAGGCACTTTTTAACACAAAGAATCGTGAAAACTAATTACAAACACATGAATTTGGCAACCAAGCAAATCAAGTCTCTCCATTCTGCATGCTCTCCAAACTAAAACGTGGAGAAGTTAAAGCAATCGACGCATTACATAGGGGGCAAGCAAACAAAACTGCCATCGCGGACACCTTTTTCTCACTCGTCCACCGAGTGAAATAAACGAATGAAGCCTAGCAAGAAACTGATCACACACAGACAAGTCTTGTTCTCCTAGTAGCCTGTATGTGAACGGCACTGAACAGCAGCAATTCCAGGCATTAGTCCGTCTGCGTGGATGCTGGCTGAGTGCTACAGACCACTGCATAGCAAACCAATTTGCATGCTTGGCGCAGGAAAACCATCGTGGTTATTGCTACAGTGCTCAAATTCCACGCCGGTTGACATGTATGGCGGGGCTTCCTGGTCTTGCTAACGACCTCAAACGATCATCACGTGAAGCAGAGACACCTCCATCGCATTAGCTCTTTCACTACACTTTGTTCACTTCACATTTCTCGGAGTGCTGCACCAGTGCAGCAAGCCGTCTCTGTGACTCGTAAGATGTCGCCATTACCACGATGGCGCATATGCACAAATATTGCCACGGTCCTCGATCCACTCATTTATACATACCAGGAAGCAATGGTGCAGGGTCATAGAGAATATCAAGTTGATCCAAATTTGCTCTACCCACTAAACTTGCAGCAGCTGCTGTGCACGGCGTCGTGAGCGAAAGCAGAACAGCCTCAGCATTCGGCACACAGGCAGGTGAATTCTGGAATAGCCGGCCCGCATCCAGTTGCAGCAAGGATTGATCATGACATGCTCATCGCGAAGCATCTGCAGGGCTTTCCGTACGGGGAGTCAGTCAACAACCAGTGTCCTCCTCGTTCTCGTTGTCGTCTATGAACTCGACGTGTGTGAACGGGAAGTGGCCCACCTTTCCGTTGAGTTCGCCCTTCCACTGCCCACTCAGGTTCATCTCCAACACCTTTATCACCTCCCCCACCTAACAAACAGGGGCACATCAAATCAATATGTACTACAAATCGCATGCAAGAATGCAGAATAAAGTTCACCGCGGACACCGACCCAGAGATGTAGAGTGATGCACAACATAAAACCTGGAGAGCACAATTTCAGTTTCCCTCTAGAGTGATTGGTATAGCCCTTATAAGTGTAATCATGCACTTCAGTGACCTACACATGTAACAATACACTGTACCCACTTACAATCACAGAAAAGTGCTGCATCAATTTACAAGTGTACCTTTACACTGCGACTGTTCGTGTGCAACCACGGACACAGTTTTCAAACATTTCGTCAGGCAGCTAACGATGACAAAAAGGAGGTGGCCTAGATTAGATATTAAATTTATTAATTAAATATTAAATATCCTTAAAAATAAGAACTTTTATTAAAATTCGAGTGTTCGTTAAGTGAGGAGCAAACAGTGTATGAACATGTATGCCATCTGCAACTAATATCTATGTCAGTAAGTAGGTACCTCTAGTTTCAGCTGAGTATTGTCGTATGCACATGGATTTCTTGCTTGCTTGACTCTTGCTAATGCCGGCAACTTTCTCTGCAAGAAAATTCACCATGCTTATTGTTTGCTGTCTTAATTTTTTATGTAAAATGTTATACAAAATAATGCTTAAAATCAAATCTCTCAGTTAAAACTAGCCATAGGTAATACTAGGGGTGGGACGATACATGCAACTCATAATACGATTCGTATCACGACACACCTTTCATGATATAATATGTATCTGAATATAACTGGAACTCTACCAATTACGTGAATGCTTACAAATCAGTATCGTGGAGCACATACAGGGGTAGAAATAAGTAGAAAAAAAGATCTAGTTTGAAATTTAGATGGTCCTCCTAAATTTCAAATTGTTCTCTAAATGTAATGCGGCGTGCAAGCGTAAGAAAGAGATTTTACATGGTGATAAAATGGTTTAATTATTCCCCTACATTAACAATGAATGTTTCAAACGGTACAGTAATTGTTTATTCACTTTAATAGTATATTGGAACGTGGAAACTTCAAAGAATTACCGTAAAATGGGACCAAAATATTCAATGGTCCGTCGGACCATTGACTTTGAAAATCTGATGGTCCTCCTGATTATTTGATGGGACCGGACCATCGGACCATCGCTTATTTCGACCCCTGACATAGTAAACAACTCCTATTAGACTACAAACTGTGCTGTGCTAATTCGGTTTTCTGATATCGTCGGGGGTTGTATCGTGATACGTCGACATACCGATGAATCGTCCCAGCACTAGGTAACACTCCTTGATAAAATCAATTAAGCAATGGCCTTAGAGCAACAAGAAACTTCGAGTTACAAAGCTAGGGAGCCATTGATGACAGAAAACATATGCAAAAAAGGAACAGTTTAAATTTAAAAGAAAAGTGACATAGCAAGCACAGCTGCACCAAAGCAACAACATGCATCCCACACAGCTTCACTTAACTGGTTGCTTTATCGCTAGCATATTTCCCTTGAGTTTTGTAATGAAAAAACATGGCTCTCATGAAGATGGATGACTAAAAATGGCAACTAATTGCTAGCGATGAAACGATTAAGCGTAATACAATGTCCACGATACAATACACGATACATCTTCACACGAGTATCGATATGCCATAATATGCCAAAAATTATCTGCAGTAAACTCAAGTTACTACCATCTATTTGATATCTTTGCTAAGATGAAAGGAAGACTAGCTGTCCCACACTTCAGCATTGCCAACAAACTATCCTGATAGCAACTGTGCCCAAGCATAAATAACTAACCCTCCCTCTCATGCATATTTATCTAGCTGTTTGCCATTTTCATCTTAGCTAACTAGCTATCGCTCTCACCTGCATAGGCCAATAGCTACCTCATCATCATTTTAGCTGAATAGGCATCACTATTATCAGCATCTCTGAATAGTTGTCCCTATCACCTGCATTACTAACTAGCTGCATCATGAGTCTGCACAATCCATGTATTCTGAATCACTGCCTACTACTACAATGCACATGAATAACGTGAACAAAGCAATATCTGACAGAGAAAGCCTCACAACCAAGTTCACTGTCCCAATCCCAATCAGTCACGATGGAGCGCTGACAGCCAACCTCCGCACATGCATAGCCACACAGCATAGTAGTGCAGGATGCATCAAGCCGTGGACCTGCAGCGATACCTGCTTTAAATCTAGCCCCCTGGTGTGCTCTCTGTACGAAGGTACCTCGACTGAAGGCAGACGTGACTCTGGGGATCCGATCGAATTTCGTGTCGGCGTCAGACTCTGCTGTTGCTGCTGCTGCTGCTGGTAAGACAGCCTCTGTGCCAACTGCTCCTGAGTTTCATCAAACTGAAACACATGATGTACAACTATATGACACGACTGGGAAGAAGTCAAAGATACCTGCTCATAGTCATTTTAAAACTACTAATAGTATTGAATTCAGTCATAGGCAAGTACTCTTATAACATTGGCATCACAGAGAGAATATAAAAATTAACAACAGTACTTCCATTACAGACATTACCTAATAGTGTTGAATTCAGGCATAGGCAAGTACTCTTATAACCCTTACATCACAGACAGCATATAAAAATTAATAACAGTACTTCCATTATAATTACTTATCCCCCCTATCTCACTTTCTCTCCCCTGAACCCCCCCTCCCCTCCTATTTGTTTGGCACTGGTTAAAACAGATGGTTATCTACTACTGCTGACAAACCTTTTGTACATAATTAACTGGAATAGAGCCAGTCTGGCCATGCATGTTTCGTGCCGTCCACCACTGCTGCTCGTCCTTACTCACAATCTCTAGCACCTCTCCCTTTCTGAAGGGAAGATCATCAGGATCCTGTGAGAGAGAAAAGGAAGCTAAACTGCAACGCAGCCATAGCTAATAGCAATGTGACTTGCCTACGAGCAGCCACACATCGCACTGCAGGGGTAGAAATTAACTTTTGACCACGGGAGTCCAACCTCTCTACCCTCAAAAAGAGCAGTAAAAAGAAAGAGTCCGCAGCAAAATGAGGGAGCCCGCAGTCTGAGGTTCAAAATTAAAGATATTAACAATAACGCATGTGCTTATTTTTACGATTCATGCGGTTGCACGTCTGCAAAATTTTCTTTGGACATTAGCTGAAAAAATACGGTAATTCCGCGAGGCCGTGCTCCAAAACGAACTAGTTAGTATGGCCGAATTTTCAGGGAGTTACACGGACTCCTGCATATGTCAAATCAGGGAGTCTGACAGTAAATCAGGGAGTATTTGACTCCGGACTCCCGTTAATTTCGCACCCTGGCACTGTGCACAGAGCTGGGCTTTCACCTCGAGAGGCACACATAGTGCACATGATAGATACAGAGAGAGATAATTGATCAAAGCAAAACTATTGGAAGTTTTCATTTGCATAGCCCTAATCTCGATTTATTATGCATATACCAGTCTCAGAAATAAGCCTGAAAACCCAGCTAGTCCTGATTTAAAAAATTTCAATTTCTACTATATAACCTATGCTAATGTACATACAAATTAGGGAGTTCCACTCAAAATTTACTAGTAGTCCTGGACAAGCTGCTATTTTCAACACTGCATATATACTACATAGAAAACTATGTCTTGTTGTGAAAAAGCTGAGTATGCTCAGTCATTTCATCATGTTTCACGTACAGAACTCTTTGCTTCTGTTCTAACTGTCCCATATCCGCAATACAAAAAGCAATATGTTAGTAATCTGGAGTTGATTGAGAGCATGTGGAATACAGAAAATACATAGCTCTAATTTAGGAATTTCAACATTTTTAAATTATAAATAATTAAGTTTTATAATTTATAAATGTTCCTATGTTATTCTGCCAGGTTTACAGAAAAAAGCCAAAATCTTCTCTTTAACAATTTTATTTATTTTCATATTTCAATTGAAGATCTATATTATTGTCTTGCCCTAATGTTATGCTCCAATTAAAAATATTGAATGCCTGTGTCTTCTTGAGATATTGCAATTCACTATCACTGTAGCTTTACTTTAATGATATGTAACTGAGGATTAAAAATCTAATATTTACAAACAAAATATAAAAATATAGCTCCACATTATGATAACTTTTTAAAGATAAAGTATCAATTAAAGAAAAACTGTCTGGCTACTCTTTTTACATACATGCTAAGTTTAATTCACAAGGTAACAGCCTGAAGCAGATTACTAACAAGCACATTAGTCAACAAAAAACACATCACTACATGTACAGCATAAAGTGAGCACAGCAGAAAGGAGGAACTACTACATAAACTGCTCCTTGCTACTTGTAGCTGACACTGCCTTATGTAAACACCTCAGCTGGGTTGCAGCTGTTTTTCATTTCTAGCCACAAGGCCAAGTGCAGGGTTCAGTTTCAAGCCCTTTCTTCTGTTGTTGGCTTTCTCAGCTCCCCCTACTCTCATCATCATTCAGCACACCATTAGCCTTTGAGCTAGGAGTGTCACTTCTTATTGACATGCAAACAAGTTGACACTGTGCTAAACACAGTGTGCTCACTTATCTGTATGAGCACAGATGTAGAAGGAAGTTGCGAAACCAGTGAAACATTAAATGCACCACTGAGCATGCACTAACAAGCACTTACAAACGCAGATGGGGTCGTTGTCATATCAGGTACTACAGATATGTACCCGAGGTAGTTTTAGGTTGTTACCTCCGCCAGGGGCTTGGCGGAGGTTATGTTTTCACCGGCGTGTGTTTGAGTGTTGGTTTGTGGGTTTGTGAACATGCACGTTTCAGTTCACTTCCGCTAGGTGCGCTGGCTGTAGACTTACAGACACGCAACCACAGGCTAAGGGGCAACCACAGTCCTCCCCCACCTGCACGCTCGCACTCAGCGAATATCTATCTATCAATCTATCTATCTATCTATCTATCTCCCTAAGGCACACGCAGGCACAAGCAAGCAGCGAACGGAAGCAGCAAGGCATGGTTTCTAAGTATAATTATTAAGAACTTTAGTACAGTTAAATTGTTCACAAATAGGTACAATTAATGCGAAGCGTAAACTCCACTTCAACATATAGTCCGATTTGCCTAAATTTGAAGAGCAAAATAATGCATTACAAGGTATTTACAAGGCATTTTATATAGAAATGAATGTACGTGACAGAAAATAGTATAGTAGTAACAAGATTTTGGTATTACCGTCTTCGTATCAAGCAAATATTTTATTATTTATTATTATACCTTGTTCCTTTTTATGCGTTTTTAGGGTTGCGCTCTAATAACTGTTGAGTCAGATGATGAATTTACACAAATAACATAATTTCTCAACTAATATATTCGGTTAGGGATATATGCGATAACCCACAACTCATTTTGGTGTCTCGCCGCGCATGTCTATACACTTAAACACACGTCTGGGGAAAATACATACATAACATCAGGATAACATCATGCAACTGTATGTGCATAAAGGTCCGTGTGACCTCGGTATGCTCAGTAGTCGCCATTGCTGACGTCCACGTTATCAGCTTCAGCTAGACACGCGTGGTAGCTCTTGGATAGCTTTATTCAGGAGCCTTGCACTTCCCACGACCTATATGTCAACTACATGGCCATGTATCCATACCGGCCCTATCCACCTTCGTTACAATTCTTTGCTCATGAATAATCAATACTCTATGCAAATAACATTGCTCTTTTGTACACACGCGTGTGCATATATATATATAAATCATTAATTAAATAAATAAATAGAAGTACGTTGCTCTTTCTCTTTGACTTTCTCACTGTATTTCTTTCTCTTTTCCTCCTCCTCTCTCTCTCTCTTTCTCGCTCTACAACACACACACGCACGCACGCACGTAGGCAGACACACACACACACACCGCACGCACGCACGCACGCACGCACGCACGCACGCACGCACGCACGCACAGGATAGGTCAGAAATGGGGTAACTTAGAATTGATGACATTTTGGTGGTGATCCAGATCCAATTAATTAAATTTTTCACAGCGAGAGAATTGAGCTGCCTTGGCGGAGGTCTATGCTCTCCAAGTGCTCTAGTTTAGTATTATGTTTATATTTTTATATAAGGTATGTTTAGGGTTAGGGTACACTTCTGTAGTACAAGTCTGGTACACTTTGTATATACATATATGCACCTCGGGTACATATCTGTAGTACCTGATACGACAACGACCCCTTCAGCCTTACAAACACACACCCACACAAATGCTTGCATTCACAAACACATGCCTGCGCAGCAACATACCAATGACATGGTAAACAGAGTACTTTGTTTACATTAGTGACTGGAAAGAATGAAAGACCCACCCTTTCATACTGACTTATTTTGTAACCTAAAACTTATGAAAAATGCAAAAAATATAACTTACTCTTCCATCAAAATCATATCTGGCTATTACTTTTTCAGACTTTTTCGTTGCCTAAAAAGAGAAGACATAAGACACTTCAATGAAGTCTTTCAAACAAGGATCTTCTTTACAAGATATTTAATAACTACTGCTCAAGAGGAAAAGTATATCCCACTTATCACCAAGACCAGTTCTCCTAGAGTGAGCAACTCAATATAATCACGCTCATTCCGGCATACACTGCATGACTGTACAGCGATATTTTTAAACCAACATTGACAAAGAACGTGCTATTCATACTGAACAGCATATTACACAGAGTTCAACAACAGAGCAGATTAACATGCACACACCGGTTGTATCAATGGCGTTGTGTCCAAATAGTGCAGCTTGTAAAATCGCAATAGGCTCGGGAAGTCTGGAAACACCTGGTCCCCGATGCGAAACTTCACCTGCTCTTCCACTTGGATTTTGTTCACGATGTAATGGCTCACTTTGTTATCCTCTCTGCGTAGCAATGCATAAAACCGCTAAAGAGTTAGTGCATCTTCTATTACAGCACTGCTGCATTCACTACTAGTAGCCACAAGGTTACCAAATAATAATGAGCAGAAACCTAATGGAAAAACACCTGATGTCTAGGACCAGGCAAAAACAGCTTCAGCTACTCAGCTTTTGTTATTTTAGCATCTGCATTTTCATAGCTTGCTTTAAGCACTTAAGAACTATTTTTTAAATAATTTATGTAACACTAGGTTGAGAAAAAACAACAAGACCATATGTTGCATATGTGCACTATCAACTTACTTGACACTGAGAACATAGTCTCCAGGAATCGTTGAGCTATCTCGCACAAGGAACACTCCTGCCTCCCTCTCCCCAAGCAGGATCCTATTGGTCTCATCGCGACCCATTGCTCCAAAATACCAACTAGAAAAGTAACAAAGGTGAATAATGCATTTACCCATGAAAACTCCCAAAAATTCGAAACTTGAACCCAAGTACTCAAGGGAAATAATCGGGTGGGATAGTAGATTGGGATTGAACGAAATTTTCTCACACATCTTTGTTTTCTATATATACACAACAAGTTGATTTTTTAAAACTTCAGTTACCACGGTCTATGTGAGTAATTAACCAAGTGGAATGTAAATAACACTGTTTATAGTGTTTGCGAGTGATGAACATCTATTCATAATTTCAACATTTCTTTACATAACCAGGGTTCTCCCTACGTTGCGCAAACGGGGCGCGCGCGCCCCGTTTGGGAAAACTCCCCCCTGTTTCAATCGTTGCGCCCCGTTTAAAATACCTCCGCCCCGATTAAATTCCACCAAAATAAAAGTTTGCCAGCGAGGGAATCGATCGTCAAGAATTCCCATTCAACCAGGACCACCGACGCGTGTATTTTTACCGTGCCACGCATGCACTGCAGACAATACACAAGTACAAACAGTCAACCTGTCCCACACCCAACACTAACTGTACACCGACTCGGCTATCTTATATATACAAGAACCCCAAATACCATCTATGGTGTGGTGACGATTTTACGCATTAATTAGTGGTACGGTAAAAAAACGCCCCCCGGACCCCCCCCCCTTCCCCTCCCCCCTGTTTGAATTTCATCCTGGGGAGAACCCTGATAACCATTAAACTCAACATAGTTACATTTACTGACATATTGATCAAACATAACAAATTGCAAACTTGTCGACTCACCTATTTTTATCATTTGGATCAAAGCTTCCAGCCATGTTTAATACTGGAAACTTGCTGGTCCAGCATATACAGTATGCTAAAAGAAGCTAGCACAAAAATAATAGCAGATAGTGATGACCAAGATGATATCTCAGATCCAGTGATTCCCAGAATCAGCTCAGCATGTACGAACTTTTCAATAAAGCTTTCTCATCCTATGTCCAAGGCATACTGGCTGCTATTAGAGTTTTAATGATCATTGGTTTTACACATACTGATATGTGTCACAGAGTTGAATTTTCCAGGCAAAGGTGAAAGGATGCTCTTCCTGCAAGAACATTGGAAAATATGACATGATATTAAATTCATGAATACTATACTGAACACCAACTAATTAGCCACATTTTCATTAAATTCAAAGTGACTGCAGGCCTATTTGCACATAACGCAAATTACTTATATTTTCTGCTGTTTCCAGCTTTCTGATATCCATTAGGAAGTTTACAAAAGTATACTATACACTCACAGAATAACTTCTAAACATTAATCCTAATTTGCTAATCTTATCATTGCTACCATTAATTATATAAACTAAATTTAAAAGATAACAAGTCAAACTTGAACAGATAAAAATCACCATGATGCATTTTGGGTTTTCTGTAGGCAGACAGGGCTGGAATGGTGCTGGGAACACATACAAATGCACAGGGTGCATACGACAACAGATGAATGAGCTATGGCAGTGTGCATGATCATGGTCAACTCTAGCTCCAAGAAACGGTCTTGCTAGGGTTAGAAGACCGTTTCACACATTGGCTGCAGCTAAACACGTAGTTGTCTTATTTGCCAAATATCGCCAAAAAACACTTCACATGTGGTATACCAAATAAATCAGTATACATGATCCTTCTTGTAACCATCAGTGCACTACGATGCGCTTGGTACTTACGGGGTTACACTTACAGCAACTTTTTGGGACGAATGAAACCAAATTTATGAATTCGCCACCATGTTGTATCATTCCGACTGTGACTAAAATCCGCAATAGATCGAACAAGGGAAATCAAACGATCTGCGTTCCTCATGTAAACCACCCATACATCCGAGAACATGTCATCTAAGGTTTTTACAAATGGCCCAGACATTTGTGAACATCGTTTCACTTGCTTTGGTGTGTAATTGCCGTGAGAGCCATCGTGCAGCTATTGTACTAGGCCTAAAATAAAATAGTGCTTGTTTCCCCTTTACCGACCGACTCGCCAAAACGCTGCTACTCGACACAGTTTATTGGCCGATTAAAACAAAACAATATACATACACACATCTTGTCAAAACAAAATAAAAAAGATTTTCCACCTACCTACCTACTCGGGGTGCAAATCCACTTTAGGCACCTTAGGTATCACGAAGTGATGCACAGACTTTCCGTATATCAAGGAATGATGCCCCTAACCCTAAGTCATAAAGTATAACCTTAGGTATCACGAAGTGTGTTAGGGTTAGGTTTAGGGTTAGGGTTTTTGCATCATTCCTTGATATACAGAAAGTCTGGGCATCAGTTGATGATACACAGAAATCTGTGCATCACTTCGTGATACCTAAGGTGCCTAAAGTGGATTTGCGCCCCTACTCGATACCCTGAGAGGAGAGTAGGTAAAGGGGAAAGAAACAATTTTTTAAGGGTGGCCGTATTTTTGTAGTATTTTCTAGCGAGTCTTTTCCGTTTCGGGTTTTCGTGTCTCTCTTCCGTTGAGCATGCGCAGTGTAAACATGGCGGGTACACAATCGTGGAAAGCTGCTTGGAAAGTTGATATGCTGTGAGAATTTATAGCAGATTATACCTTGAATTAAGAAATAGGGTACATTCTAGTTTAGAAGCAGGACAACTGTGAGTTATCGTTCATATTTCAAACAAGCCAAGTCAAAGGTGGTAACTAATAGAATAGTTTTACTTGAGATATACAGTTATTCATCTAGATCTGCAGAGGTGATAGGTTTTTTGTATGGAAGGGTGTCAGGCTGTATAGACAATCGGTCGCACAGCCTGCCTGGCGCCGGCGCTAGGTCTACTCACAACTCGGCTTGAAGACGGCACATAAAAACCAGCAGGATTAATATATATTCTTTACTCAATAATTTTTCTCCTCTTCAATACCATGCCCCTTTTACATAATATTAAGATTGTTGGAGGTCAGAAAGCCGCAAATGCTTAGGAAATGTATCATGTTGCTGGGACCAATGGCAATGCAGCCTGGGACATTCACTATTTACAAACACCTATGTGAAATAATTCTGTGCTTTCAAAATAGCCATTATTAAATTGCAGTAACTACAGCAATAGAGTACGTGCTGATTATGTAATTATACGACTTCGTTTTCGTGGCTGCATGAGTTCATACTGATTACAAAAAGGTAGGAACTACGAAAATTACAGCAGACTCAACAGTTACAGTACCGGTAGCCTAATCGTCCAGCTTATCGCAAATGTCAATACATTACAGAATGAAGCTATATTAGTAACAAATATCAATAAATAAAATAAAATGCTATCCTTGTTGAACTAGGAGACACGAATGTCTACGATACGCAACATAATAAATACAATATCACCAACGCGATACAGACCTATAATTTATAAACACAAAAACGCAATCGGAACTTCATAAACGTCTAATAAACATGGCGGCTTTTACAGAAACAAGTGCACACTATATATTACAGATATTGTATCTCTTATTTCTTAGTCGATTAGCCTGATCAATTTCATAATATTTTTTCAGAATAGTTTGATGTTTAATATAACATAATATAATTTTACGCATTTTTGATTAATAGTAATAAGTATCATCATCGTTGCAGATTTATTTAATCATAAATGAATGCTATAGTCATCGTTTTCACGCGACGTATAAACGTAGCATTTCCTATCTGCGGAAGTTCATATATTGTACGTCATTAACCACATATCTTACCGGGAATTATTCACACGCTAACTGGTATATATACTTGAGATTTATCACAGGAAAATTTGCAGAGCAACTAACTGGAAGTGCACAACACAGGATACGATACAGGATGCCAGTATAACGACCAGGCGATGTAAAATACTACCCGCCCATTCACACAGACACACTCATGCGCACACACACCCATTACTTTAAATGGATAGATACTTAATTTTAATACATTATTTATTCATATATATATATATATATATATATATATATATGTCGTTAAGGAGAATTATTGAAGAATCCCTATTTGTCACGTTGCTTTTCCCGCTCAAAGCTCTAACACAGGAGTGAAACACTGCGTTGATAACCGAATATATAATCACATTACGTTATACACCCTACAAAGTACACGGTATAATTGACTATATATATATATAAATATATATATATATAATATCTATTTAATTTTCTTTGCTTTTGATTGTTTTTATTTACTTCTGTGGAGAATTACCGGATTTATGTGCTATAGTCCTTGCGTTGCGTAGTACTCGAATGGGTCTTTTATCTAGGCAGAAGTTGCGAGCGCTTTTACCCAGGATTAATTACTCATTGAATGTCAGGTTTCCATGGAAGCCTTCGACCGTCCCTTGAGCGTCAATCTCAGAAGGGGCAGCGATTCCACTGTCTCACGCAGCTTAGGAAATAACTCTTGATAGTATAGGTAAGCATATAGTATCACCCCTTTGACGAGTTGTCTTTTCTTTTGTATAGACTTCAGTGTCGGAATGACTCTATCATGGCCATGACACTGTCTCTGATCGTGCGTGTTGATGATGAAACAGACAGCTCGTTACGGGCCATTTGTATACAGTGTTTGGTGTTAAATGTAATCGTAAACACGTATAATTTTTATGTATATTTGGTGTCACTATATTAGAAGGTGTATTACTATACCACATAATAATAATAACCAAATAACCTTGCATGTGTACTGCTCTCAATTCATTTTCAGTTGTACGACTTTTATGTGTAAACCTTTCTTACTATTTATCCCCGTTAAAGAATTTGTTATTACGGAATGAATTTCCATGAATTAAAACTATAATTGTGCATCCTAGCCAGATTTGAGAGATGTACATGTATCCTAAATTCACCACCAATGAGGCATCTATTACATACGTTTATAGCTACCGAAATCTTAGAAATATATGTCCAATTAAAATCTAATAGTACCAAAAAAAACAAACAGATGTTTTTTCGGATTTATTTTATATTATTATAATGCACACGTAAAGTGTTTTATTATTATTATGTTGTTTTCTTATTTAATGCGAAAAGGTCCATACATAGTATCATCCATCATGTAGAGCAAGTAGCACCTTTTTTGAGTCATGGACCCCTTTGAGAATCTGGTGAAAGCTACGGACCCCTCCCCAGGAAAATGCACATAAACACAAAATTTTGCATGCACCTGGTTCACGGACCCCCTGAAGCCCATCCACCGACCCCAAACGGTCCATAAACCACAGGTTAAGAACCCCTGATATAGAGCAAAATAAATGTTGAAATTCACGTCTCGGTATACAGCCGTTACTGGAGAGTGCTGCCCCCTATATAGCGCATGCCACAGAAATGTGTAAAGAGAATACTAAATACATTATGTCTATGGCTCAGCAAATACTTTCCGTCCGTATAGAAATTAAGGTCCAACGTGCTGAGGAAGCAGTCCACCCACCGCCCATGCCATGCAGAATATATATATAAATAAATAAATAAATATATATATATATATATATATATAATTGATTCTTTTAAGGGTGTTCGCCTCTCTTTCTGTGGTGGAAATGATAACACCAGTACAGCTAGGTTGCGATGATATGACTGCGAGGATAAAGGGTTTGCTTTTTCTATACTTATTCTTTCTCCGCCATGGTTAACTCGGAAGAGGAAACCATAACTATTCCTGTCGCGGTTAGACATCTGCTTTTTTCAGTGTCAAGTCATTTTTGTCAAGTGACAGATTATTTCTATACGCCGATAAAGTGACTAGTCGCGGTGGAATATGGCTTGATATACAATTTACGTTTCGAGTTAATCGGCGTGCTCTTGCTGTGGAACCAGCGATATCTAGGCACGGTAATGTGAGCATGCGAGACAGAGTACAGAATGCTGCATGGTCCGCCAATCAAACGGATTGATTACGAACCGTTTAGGACCGATACGGAAAGCACCCACGCGCGCGCACGCACATACTTGTATTAGATTATATAGGGACTGATATAGTAACAAGAGCTATAATATACTTATATATATTAATATACTAATGTATTATTAGCTCTTGATTGTATTATATTAGGACAAATTAATGATCATTAACACACGTTATCTCCATAACATACGTCATTTTACAGACAATGTGTGTGTGTAGGCGGGGGGAGGGGTCGGGGAATTCTTCCATGTTTATCTTGTTGTTTGGCAATTGCGTTTGGTTGAGTTCTGAATTGCACATGTTATTCTGGATTGCACCGGAATGTACTAGACTTTATTTTCTAATTATTTATAGTTTCTAAATTAGGATCTTACAAGACTGAGATTTTCCGGCAATGCTTTTCCATCATGCTTTTAGTCACGAAGTACGTTTACGTTTTTGCATAAATTTAGCAGTATTCTTTGTCAAAAGCAACAGGTATTATTCATATTACTGGGCGACCTGGCTATGTGCAAGCTCGGGCGAGTTTTCATATATGTACAACCCCGATTATGGTAAAAACGGTTGTTGTACGATTAATAATAATAATAATAATAATAATAATAAATAAATATATATATATTAATAAATATATATATATAATATGATTGTTACAATATTTGTATTTATTATTGTTTCACTTTATGTTCAGTAATTTTTGGCTTTATCTCTATAGAGATATGTACCATGCACTCCACCTGCCTCTATTGAAGTACCTATACACACAAACTGCATATTAAAATTCAAATTAAGCACGAATAGAAACGGTTAGCTAGGTCGTATATGGAGACTCGTCCGTTCGCCACCTACTCAGAACATAAATCATTATACCCATGTGTATGTTTACTATTACTAAATTCCAGACCAGAACATGCGTGATTGGTCACGTAGTTAGTTGCCACTATATTTCGCTTCAAATATTATTGTCATCATTTCGTTCTTCTTGCGAAATATCACATATTTTAATTAAAAGCTATACGAACTGACGCGGATGCCTCACTGGTATTTTACGTTATTGTTATACGTATTATGTTTTGATCGCATTAGAGAGCTGAGGTCAAACCCTCAGAGTAGGCCCTACCTACACCTGCTGAGAAATCGTACTCATATTCTGTTGTCTACGTCGTACAAACGCAAGCCCGGCAGAATGGTATCATATACAAAATTATGCACCCAACACGTCAACGGTCATATTGAAAATTTACCCCATCACACCTTCATAGCGAAATAATATTATACTGGTATACGACTTTCTAGTGAAAAAAAATGTAATTATTATCGTAAATTACACATCACATAGGTTAAAAATAGGTATCTAGCGGTTAAAAGCGAAATTCCCCGGAATTTCCCAAAAATTCTCATTGCTATAGCCAGTGTGTATAATATCAATGATTGCAGCTGAGATGAAGACATTGAACTCCATAATCCAATCAGAGACATTTCATCACAAACAGATTACACCGAAGACGACAGATATCGATTGAATGCTATTTTATTCCACATCACAACACGGCTGTACAGTGGCAACGTACTGTAGAGCATGGAGCAATGCTGGATGTACAGAACAAGCCAGGAACTACTGTACTAGTACACAACGACCCTTTGCAAGACTTGCACTATAACAAACAGCTGATGAGGAACAGGCACAAACAATTTACCTAAAGACAGCTAAACTATACTGTATAACGACAAATTTCGTATATCGAATTTTCCCTACCTCTTTGGTAATTTTAGATTTTAATACTGCAGTCTTGCATGACTAGATGATCACGTGGCACGATGTTGGGAAACATAGGCCGCGATGACGATGTCCATGAAGTCTCCAGGCAAGATTACTCATCAGGATGCATTATTATTAAAGACAAAATGATTTCCAGTCATGTGAACTAACGCGTTCTCAATATAAACAGCGCGGCGTCACTCCCTCTGTGTGGCGTATAGAATAGGTTCGTTTTATGCATAGAAATAATATAGATCTATATATATATCTATATTTCTATATATAGATAGATCTATCTATATTATCAGGAGTTAATAATGACTGTCCTAATTTGTCATTATTAACTCCTGATATTATTTCTATGGTTTTATGCGTCTTATTTGAGCCATGTGGCTCTACCCGAAGACATGTACAATGTGACATCCCTACTTAAAGGCAGGCATGAGATGACATCGCGACTGCAAACCAACGACCTTTCCAGCTGGATGTATTCGGTGGTTAACGTTTCGTCAGTTCGCTGATTAAAAAGTTAAAAAAAAAGTGATTACCTCTACGCGTCGTTGTAAAATTTTGAAATCTTGCGTACTATGTGATCTCGCTTTCCAAAACGTTCTGAAAGATTAGAGTAAATATATCCAACCAGGTCGTTTTCCTACTTCCATTAATAAAATATTACTTTTAAGGAACACAGAGGTCAAATGGTATCACCCAAAAATCAAATTTACTACAGAGAAACTGACAGCAATTCCTGCTATATTTATCTCTCTCTCCTTCACTGATTCATCACAGTAACACAGTCACAATTCTTAACTCCTGATTTGGTAAAATAAATAGGCTAAACAAATTAGCAAGCAAAATGAAAATAAATTAATCATGGATCCTGATACATCAGCAATCAATTAATCGGACAGTATCACTGCCGACGTCCTCATCATTTTGATTTGAATCACTTTGATTGCGGCTCATATAGCTGGTTGGTTGGCATGACACATGTAGCAAACTATAAACATATCTACGACGCTACTCTCTATCTTCAGTATACACGATGCTAGGATTATATGCAAGCTACGGCTACTAATACGTTATGTACGTAGTGTTTAGATACGACAACTATACGTTCCCGCGCTTTACGTGAGCTTTATCTCCATCCCTGCCACGCAACTGTTTACAATACTGTTTATGACGATAATAACATGACAAGCTATGATACACGCTGCGAAGATCGCCAGTGGGAGACCGAGCCGACACAAGCCGACTGCGCGAACCATGTCTCTCTCTCTCTCTCTCTCTCTCTCTCTCTCTCTCTCTCTCTCTCTCTCTCTCTATCTTTCCCTCTCTCCTCCCGCACGGACGCATAGAGTACGCACGCTTCCCTTCCGTGTACTCCGAGAGAAATTGTGTGAGAGAGACAGAGAGAGAGAGAAAGAGAGGGGGGAAGGGAAAGGCAGAGAGTTAAAGAGAGATAGAGAGTATCTGGGGTGACACGCATACACATCGATAAAGAAAGAGAGAGAGAGATAGACAGGGGGAGAGAGAAGAGAGAAGAGAGAAGAGAGAAGAGAGAAGAGAGGAGAGAGAGAGAGAGAGAGAGAGAGAGAGAGAGAGAGAGAGCGGCTCGTATCTGCACTTCGTGAGATAAGGTCTCCTTACGCTCTAGAAGAGGCACGTCTCCCATCTGACGGCTTTTGCAATCACAATATAAACATATAGTATTTCATAAAACATTTAAACCCGTATTGATAGAATATGCAAAGGAAATATAGACAATGTAGACATACAGTGTGTTTCTTACTGAGGTAATATTCGGTATAGTTTTAGTAAGGGCTGCAGTGTGAATGTAACACGTCTGTCGGCTCGCAAACGGCTCTCCCGCAGAAACCAGAGGAAATCGCTGTAGGTTGTACGTCAACGCCTACAGGTGCACGTGAAAAAAGTGAAGTTTGCCCACTGATGCTACGTATTGCATTTAACGGAACTATACCTGTGATACCGAGAACAAATGCGACGAAAATTCCCAATTCTGTTAGAAAGATTACCGCAACACGCCGTAACAACGTTATGGGCACCAGCACCGACGTAAGGTGGTCTCGTGGGCGCCTACGGTAGAGGTATGTCCACCACTAGGTGATCTTTCAACAATTCGGAGGTTGTTACAGTGTCTCCCAGGGCAGGTGAGGAAACATCACAATATAACTAGATTATATGCACATTGTTTATGTGCCAGTCCAAACGGTAGGATGAGTGGCCCGCAAAAGTGAAACCACAGAGACAGTAATTTTTCTGAACCTGGGATCTGCAGTAAAGCGGACAGCAAGAGGGAGACCTGCTACTTATTCGCTGCAGCCAATATAATACAAGTGCAAGTTGCACTGTGTAACACATATACACATACAGGAGTACATACATACGTATATATATATATATATATATATAAAAATCTATGATATATATACATGCATACCTACATATTTTTTTTATGTGTGTGTTTGTGTGTATTTATACATGCACGTACCCAAGTGCTGACATGTCTGTACTGTGTATCTCCTTATACCACTGGCTGCAATCACAGACACCACGTCTTGAGCAAATTAACTTCAAACTGTGATTTGACAGCGTATCACCACTATTTTGATCATCAACAACACCAGTACAGACTCATCACATGCGCCACCTCGTGGCCGAGAAGCTCCCCTCCTGGAAAAAATATAAACTTCTGAAAATAAACTGCTCCGTCGGCCACGAGGGCGGTGCCACTGAGTCTATTATTACAAAATAGCCAGCAGAAACTCTGAACCCTGATGACTGACCTAAGGCATAGTATTATGACACTGAGTATAATATGTAGCACAAACACAATGTCATGGACACATCTCCCTCGCCCCTGCATTACCTTCCATAACGACAGATACAACAGTAGTAAAATAATATTCAACTCCTCACTGATAACTAGTAATCAAATATAATGAAAAACCTATGATAAAGTCATAACATTTCGTTCCTTTGCTGGTCCATAAAACTCACTGTGAAACAATGATATGAATGAGTGCAATAGCAGTCCCGACTACACGACACTCATTCCACACATTAACGTATACAGCGACCAGCCTCAAAAAGGTCGCGATCTCCTGACCATACAAAACACAACAAAAACAAAGTTTTGGAATTCTGGAAGATGTCAAATTGAAAAGAGGGTTGATCCTTAGTGTACACACTCAGCCAACCGTCATGAGATCACGCGCGACACCGCATTGCAACGAGCGAGGTTGCCCGGCGTCGCCGAGGCACACGCTAGCTCTGCAGGCGCCCCCTGGACGAAGCGCCAACCACGGACGTCTCCCAACAGAAAAAATACACAGCGCTGACCAGCTCTAAGTTCGTCTCGCAATGCAGCTGCAGGCCTTAGGCAAGCGGTGGCGAGACCACACACACACGACAGACGCCCCCACTTGAGCACGTAGTATCCAGAGAAAACCTTCCCAAACACCCCTGAGTTCAGATAAAGTTTGAAATAACAAAGTTTGAGCAATATCTCTTCTGGACACCACGAGTCAATATCACTGCATCCCTGACTATATTTATACAGTTTCGACATAAATATAAATTATTTACAAAGAAAAAAAAAGAAAACCTCCGAACCTTACAAACATCGAACAGTGAACATATAAATGTCATCAGGAACACAGGCCACAGGAAGACTACTTGCATGCAACGCTGGCCAAACGGGTTTGGATTATGGGACCCTCTATTCACAGCAAACCACCAGCTAGGCATCTGTTTCACAGAATACGTCCTGCCATTGCGTTATACCATAACATATTTATCTCCTATCACTATAAATAGTGGCAGAAGTTCTTTGGCGAGTTTAGATTTAGCCAGTATTGCATGTTACTCTTTCCTGAATTCAACGTTCACAATACGCATATATAAGGATCCACAGCGTATTACGGAAAACGACGAGTATCTACTGATACAGGAATAACTCTACTGAGAACGCATCCCAGCATAAGCCTCAATAGTTACCATTAATAAATAACCGACCATAAGTACAGTCAACATTCAAGAATACACGTATAGATAGATTGTGCGCGCCTCGTATTTCTCCAGACTAACGCCAAGCATTTGCCACCTCAGAAGAATCATCGTGGCACCACCTTCAGGGTTGCCTCTTGTTACGGCAAGAACATGCTGACATCTTCACGTCCTAGAAAGCCATCTTCCCAGAGTGTTATATCTTTGGTACATGCATGATAGTAACATTTTCACTTACTACCCATAATACTTATGGAATTTAGCTAGCTACAAAAGGCCATGGGGAAGGACACACTAAATACTACATTCATTTTTCCGTCTAAGGCATGTAGTTATACTGGTTACTATCTCTTAATTCGTCTATGGAAAGAACTGTCCGTGTACCATCTCCAACCGAGACCGCATTACGGATTATGAATTTTCCTCAGAAGTTTTTAAACCTGAATACCTTGCACGAGACCTATGCATGATAGCACACCGAATGTGTCTGCCAGCGAGCAAGCCAGCCACGTCCTGTCGATCGGACAGTTATTGCAACAGTAGAGGTCCGGTAGTTGATGGATTGGCATGAGTCAAAGGTAGGATGCGGCATCGAGTACGGGGACACGCACTACGCGGTACGTGGACGTGACCGGGGCACGCCGCGCGGCACGCGGGGGCGGTGCTCTACATGTGCGCCACCCTGGCGATGTGCAAGAAGAATGAGATCTTGTCTTCGGCCTGGTGGCCGCACATGTTGCACTTGAACGGGTCGCGGTAGCCGTGGTAGCCCATGTGCATCGTGTACATCACGCAGTTCTTGAAGGAGATTTCACAATAGTTGCACTCGTATGCCTCGCACGCGTCGGCGAGCCGGGCGCCGCCCATCTGCCGCAGCACGAGCGCGCCAATCGACGCCTTGCCCAGCTCCGGCCGCCTTGCCGCGCCGCCGCCGAACAGCTGGTGGCTGTGGTAGAGCGCCTGCTGCTCGGCAAAGCCGCGATGGCACTGCTCCTCGTACTCCGGACTCGCGCTGATGCTCGCGCGGCCGAGCGGCGGTGGCGGCGGAGGCTTTGCGACGCAGTCAGCGTCGGCGACCCTGTGCACATGCTCGCTCGGCTCTCGATCGACCTTGTCGTCGGCCGCTGCCGCCGCTGCGTCGCAATCGAGTGCATAGGTGACGCCGGCCGCGGGGGCGCCGCACGAGTCCGAGCTGTAGCCGTCGTTCGACTCGGCGCCGCCGCCGCTGCCGCCGCCGCCAGGTGAGAACTGCTTCTGCAGCTTCATGCAGATGCGGTCAAGCTTGTAGGCCTTGCCCTTGCGGCGGCTTCGCGACGGCGACGCGGCAGAGGAGGGCGCCGCCACTGGCTCCGGAAGACTCGATTCTGGCGGCGGCGGCGGCGGGGCGTCCCGGCCGCCGGCGTCCGGCTCCTGCTTGATCTTGACGGCGCCGATCTGGTCGAGTGCGTCCTTCATCGCACTGACGTCGTGGTTGCGGCTCAGGTCGAGCACCTTCGCCTTGTCGACGCCCTCAACGTTCTTGTAGAGCGCCGCGGCGACAGCGGCCGCCGAACAAAGCTTCGGCGGCGTCTTGCTCCTCGGCTGACTGCGCTCGGCCTCCTGCGCCCAGCGGCGCACCTCGCCCGGCGACAGCTGGCCCTCGCGCAGCACGGCCGGCGACACCTGGCGGCCGTCGGCCATCAGCGTCTCCGTCGAGATGCCGTAGAGCTTGCAGAGGTCCTGGTTGTCGGCGGCGGCGTGCAGCATCATGTGCCGGCTCAGCTGGTCGGCGTACTTCGAGCGGAAGTCGCACAGGTTGCAGCTGAGGCACGGCTCGCCGCCGGCGCCGCGCGACGCGTCCACCGCGCCGGCCCGCAGCGCCGCCGCCGACGGCTTGTGCTGCTGCTGCATCAGCAGGCTGCCCATCATTGACGGCGGCAGGCCGTTGAAGCCCGGCGGAATCGGGAAGCCAAACGGTGGGTGCCGCATGCCGCCGTTCATCATCGCCGGCGGCAACTCGGGCAGGCCGAACATCTTCTTCTTGGGTCCGCGCGCGCCACGCCGGCCGAGCAGCAGCTCGGGATGCTGCAGCACGAACATGTCGCCGCCGCTGAGCACGGTCGCCGGCTTGTGGCCGTACTTACGAAGGTGCAGCTTCAGGCTGTGGCAGTACTTGGTCGCGTACGTGCAGTCCTGGCAGCGGTACTGGTAGAAGTTCGAGTGCGACTTCATGTGGCTGTTCAGCATCGACTTGTTCACGCACGAGTAGTTGCACTTGCTGCACTTGAACGGCTTCGAGCCGAAGTGGTTGCGCAGGTGGTACTCGAGGTGGTGCTTGTACTCGGTGACGAAGTTGCACTTGGGGCACGACAGCATCTTGTCGACTTTGATGTGGAGCCGCGAGTGATCCCAGAACTCGTTCTTGTTCGTCGCCGTAAACTCGCACTGCTTGCAGCGGTACACCTTCTGCTTCGGCGGCATCTGGCTCACGCGCGCCACGCGCAGCGCCTGCGCGCCGCCGCTGCCGCCATCGCCCGCCGCCGACGCGTCGCCGTGCAGCTCGCGAATGTGCTTCTTGAGGCGCGCCTCCGTGCGCGCCGTGTACTCGCACAGCGAGCACTTGTGGTCGAAGTGCGTGTTCATGTGCGAGTTGAAGTGGAAGCGCGATGTGCCCGAGTAGCTGCAGAGCGTGCAGCGGTAGACGGCGTCGGGCCGCTCCTCGACCATGCTCGGCATGAACTCCTCGTGCGCGTCAAACTCGGCCGCCGCCTGCTCCAGGTTGCGCTTCGTCAGCTCCGCCTGCGCGCGCATGCTCGCCGCCTTCGCCTGCTCGAAGGCCAGAGCAAACTGCTTCTCCGGGTCCAGACTCTCCTCCACGGCGGCACCCTCCTCCTTCGTCGTCGTCGCCGCCGCCGCCTCCTTCTCCTCCTCCTCCGTCTCCTCCTCCACGCCGTCGGGCTTCTCCGGCTTCGGGTCGGCGATGTCCTCGTTGTCCTCCTTCCCGCCATCATCTTCCTTCATGCTGCCCTCGATCTCCGTGTCCGACTGGTTGTCGGCGGCCTCCCCCGCGACGGGGCTGTGCGCCGAGATGTCGTCAGGAAGAGCGTCGCCCGTATCCATCGCTTCCTCCTCGTCGTCGCCGGGGTCCTCCTTCACCGCAGCCTTCTCGTCGGAGACTGCGCCCTTCTCCTTCGCGTCGCCGGGCTCCTCCTCCGCGTCGGGACGCTGCTTGTGTGGTGTCGTCTCGGAAAGGGTGCCGGCGGGGGAGGGCGGCTGCGGGGTGTGGTACGGGGGCACGGGGGAGGGCTGTGGCGGCAGCGACATGCTCGGCGACACGCTGCTCGTGCTGCTGCTGCTGCTGCTGTTGCCCCCACTGCTGCAGTTGAGGCTCGCCTGCAAGTCGGAGCCGCTGGCAAAGCAGGCCAGCAACGCTGGATTGCGCGCGGTTTGCGGCGGTGGCGGCGGCGTCCGCTGCTGCGGCGACAGCAGCGGCGGCAACCCCTTCGTCACATCCAGCTGGTACGCTATCGGCGGGCCGTAGCGGCCGGGCTTCCCCGCGCCTCCTGCCGCCCGCCCGCCACCGCCGTGCTCACCAGGGGGCATCGCGTACAGACCGCCGTACTCGGTCAGGTAGCCGTGCGGCGGCCCACCGACGACGTGACCATTGCCGACGTAATCGGTCGCCTTCGGTCCGTGGCCGTAGCCGGGCAGCTGGTCGGCGAGACCCGGAGGGACGCCTCGGTACCCGCCGCCGCTGCCGGTGGAGTCCTTGGCACCGGCGTAGCCGTACGCGGAGCTGAAGGGCGGCGAGGCAAGCTGCTTGTCGCCGTTGCTGTCGGCGCGCTTGCCGCCGCCGCGCTCCGGCGAGAAGTCCGGCTGCTCGATGCGGCTCATGATGTAGTTGCGGAAGGAGTTGAAGTCGGAGTGCTCGGCGGTGCGCGGCAGGTAGTGGCGGTTGTAGTCCATCACCGCGTAGCTCATGTTGCTGACCGGCGGCTCCATGCGGCCAGGCGGCTGGCCCTCGACCGCCTTGTTCATGTACGCGCCGCTGCTGCCGTTGTAGGGGGCGCCGCTGTTGTACCCGGCGACGCCGTACAAGCTGCTCATGCTCATACCGTTCGTGTAGGACGGGTCGAGCGGTCGTTCTAGGCCATTGCGAACTTCACTGTTGTCCATCGTGTTCTGTCGTTGCTATGCAGTTACCTTCATCAAATTGTGCACCTGTAAGCGAAGGAAAATGGAAATTAGAAATGCCTATATATAACTGAGCTAGAAACTCTTACGATACACGTGCCAAACACGAGCTTTGTACAGCCGCATGCTTCGTATACCTCGTCTGTGTAGTAACACCAGCGAGAAACATGGCACCGTTAAAAAGCTTTGGGCTTTAGCCGTCTCATTTCCTGCCTGTCATGGCCGGTGAAGGGCCGTGTGGTGACTGACTCACTGAAGCAGACGTACACATTCATGTGGCAGGCGCGCGTAAATAGTGAAGGAGTGGTCTCAGCTATTACAGCGAGCTAGACAAACATCGCAGTGGGATGACCACTGCGGCTTATTTGCCCGGTGGCAGCTTTTTCCGGTGACATGCACTTACATCTCTATAGATAGCGAGGCAAGAGATAGCTGGACAGACTGACCACTAGCACTGATGACAGACGTACACGTGTACGTGCGTGGTCAGTGCTGGAAGCACGGTCTTTCCTGTATGCGGCACTGCACTGCATCGCAAAATAGCAACTGCTTTAAACAAGTGCGTACTCTCGACGAGTTTATTTGCACAAAATCAAACTAACCAACATCTGCAGGTAAATATTTATGGGTGCCACATTTCTTGAGGAATGTCGGGGAGGTTGGTAAAATGCCTAATTGTAAACAAAATACGTTTAGCTACTGATTTATTTTTGCAACCATACAATCCATGAAAAATGGCTTCAGTCACACCCATCGAATCCTCTGCCAGAGGCAGCGCACGCCACTAGCAGTATTCACCACTGAAAACCCGGACAGTAGTCAGCCCAGCTTACACATAATGAAAAACAGCGTGCTTATCTGAGAGAGAAAACAGAAAACTGCACAAATTCGATCGTCGTCGTTATAAAAAAAAACCTCATGCCTAGTTACACTTGATCACACCACGTCAGTCCACGTCATATATTATATATATATACGCATTTCAGTTCTAATACGGCATGCGCAAGTGTGACTGCTGGAAGGCCAAGACAATCTAATACGAGCAGATGGGGAGAAGCGCTTGGCCGTCAGTCAGCTTCGAGCGTATGCAGTCAGATGTATGTAGATTTATTCTGTAAATCAATAAGCTTTGATAAGGCTAATCGATCGCACCAGCCTCCCCGTAAGCACCCCGTAGCTGCTACTTTCGCCAGCAAGGCATATGTCCTTGACAGACAACTGTTGGGTCAGCGACACCGGCTGCGGGCGCACACGACAACAGAGAGGCTGGCCGCGCGCGCGCATCGTTGACAATTCAGGACGGTGTCATTAAAAAAACCGATTGCTCCCAAGGCATAAAGGTAATGGCCTCGCAGATAGCGGCGGACGACCTGGCACTGAGATACTCGCAACAACGCTTGCTTGTGTCAACATGCGAGAGAGATAAGGCGCGCTTGCAAAAATGCGCACAAATATTTGTTGAGGCCAAGGGCCAGGGCACAAACACATGACCAGGTCTCATGCACAGCCCTGCCTCGCTGTTTCTCCCACGCATGCTAATATTACCTATGAAGCAAGAACATTTACGGCTTTACTTGCTTCACATCACAATCATCATGCCTTTTCACTGAAAATGCATTGGGGAACGTCTCTCTGCTCAGAAGATGACCAGTTTTCCAGGACTTCCTCGAGAAGAAATGTAACAAAATACGCCATCGCATTTTCAACGAATTTATAGCATCCACACGAATCGTTCGATGGCCCATCGCCGGAATCGGGAAAAATAGACGCTGTTTGCGTTTGTATGTTATAGTACAAGCGCACGCGTGGCCAATAAAGCTACCATTGACCGAGCAAAGTTCACCATCGCCGTAGTTTTCACAAGGCCGTATGGTCAGCCGTTGCTGGTCCTCTAAGCAATCATCGTTATTTATTGCCACTACACGCTGTGCGTTTTCTCCATCCACGGCTGCTTTCCAAGTTGCGGCGAAGAACTCCGCTAGACGACTACAGCGACGGTTACGTGCGCGCGTACGGCGCGCGTCTCTCCAAACAGGCGCCTTGTTTATGCCATCAATCACAGCCATCATAATGTAATCACTGCACATGTTACTGGCCGAAGCCTGACCATGGGTCAGTGCTTTACTCGGCACGCGTAACCAGCGATGGCCGCCGTTACCAAGGCAATATGTCGCGGCCGCTGTAATTCGGCTCCGTGTCGTCGTGCTGCTCTCATTGATTGCCTACCATTAAATTTAATGTCATTTACACGGAAAAAGCGGCGGCAGGCAATAACTAGCTGCACACTATTTAGGTCAGCGTGGATTGATCCGGCCAGTATTAAATTTTATAGAGGGTACACACACACACACGTCTCCGGTGGCCATTTCTGTTCGCTCAAAACTGGCGCAGAGGCGACAGGCGCAATCGATGGATGGCGATCACTACGTCGCACCAATGCTGTACACTAGCGCTACCTCACGCCCGAGCCGCTGAATCACGCACATGTACTCTAGCACACCTGGTGCTCAGCACTACATGTACACGC